CGGACCCAAAAAACCTTTAGAGGGTGTAAAAAACAAAAAAATACATTTAAGGGTTAATCAATTAAACAAACATTTGCCCCCCCCCCCTCTGTTCAACTATCTATCAATGTCAATGGAATCATTGTATCGTGTTTGATATTTCGACCTGAGAGTTTCAAAACGCGATCTCAAATGAATACTATTGCTTTTTAAGACTAATATTATTCTCAAGGCTCTTAAATCTGACGGAAACACGTCTGGAATTTTGATATGTTGAATGTTGTGCTAATTTTGAATATTTTTAATTCTATGTCCCAGGGTTTTAGAATTACATTAATTTTGACTGGGAATACTAAACCACGGTGATTTTATTCCAAGATTTTGACGATGTTTTCAAAGTCGTCTAACGGTGATATTTCAGTTTACCAATACAAAAAGGGGACGATGTATCCTTGGAAACTAAGTGGTGAATTTCAAATTTAAATTATTAGGTAAAGGATAAATTGTATGTAATAGTGTTACAATAACATGATATCTCCAGAAATCTTATGAAGCGAGAGACGGTAGGAATTTTTGAGACAAATTAGGTCCACTGGCTTTCGATACATTATGGCTTCCTTCTGCAAGTTACCATTGCAATAAAATAATTGTCAGCTTGTGTCAAACACATGTTAATCCCTCCAAGTTTAATTAAAACACAACCTCGCTCCAAATCAACCAAGTGTCATTCATAAAGGAAGCTGGCTAATAGACTCCTGGATTAAGTCTTTGCAATCTACCGAAAACCAGTCTGAGCAAATAGCAACGCTTTGTGAGACGCTACCCCAATGATTTGAAACATGTAATTGATAGTGTCTAACATTCATGAACAGTATTCTCAAGGAGCTAAAGATTAACAACGGGGTGGAATCTGAGAATATGCAATTTGATTTTACGCCTATTTCACAGAATGATTGAGCAAATCAATACAACCGAAGTCTATTAATAAGAAATATATTTAGATGGACTGAAATGAAATGTGACATTTCAATTCTGACCGAACGTCTCTGTTTGATCCTAGAAAATATTACATCATTATCAATTAATGGATGTAAATAAACTATCAATTGGTGATATTGTAAATTAATAGATTAATTTCGTGTAAATTAGTTCACCATTTAAACCCATAAGATTAACAAGCCCTACGTATATGAACAACAATAGGAGAACGATGACTTTATCCGCCAAATTGTGAGACAAATACACTAAAATACATCCGGGCATTCGATAATGCATTAAAAATTAGACTCATTAATTTTGTTTTTCAGCAAACCCAAAGCCGGATATATCGTAGATATCATCAGATAATATAAGAATTGCACCGCCTCGTGTTTGTAGGTAATCCGGAGGGAGAACATTGTATTTGATCCAATTCCATTTTGTTGGAGTGGATTTGTTTATCAATAGTTAGCTATTTAATGTACTGTACATATAGAAGCTGTTGCTATGACAATGCTAATAGTAATATCATTTCATGACCATATCAAATGAATTAATATTATATTATAATACGGGAATGGTATAATAGTATAACAATATACATATGTGTATAATAACATATACTATACTACTGGAATGGTATGATTGTACAAAATATAATATATAAAAATATTACATATAATACTGGAATGGTATAATAGTAAAATAATATAATATATGTATAATAACATATACTATAACACTGGAATGGTATGATTGTACAAAATATTATATATAAAACAAATACTATAATACTGAAATGGTGTAATAGTACAATAATATAATATATAAAAATATTACATATACTATAATACTGGAATGGTATAATACTACAATAATATATATTATATAAAATCATAATACTAGAATGGGCAGCCATGACATTTATACTAACTGTCACATATTGTTTCTATATATATACATGGATATTTTCAGCTAAAGGTAAGAGATGATGCATCACAGATGAGGCTACTGCGGATGGTATTAATGCTTCAACACGGAGCTTACTAATTTACAGGTAATATAGCAACAAGGTATGGCATCAGGTGATGTATTCAACCAGTCAACAATGCATTGCCGTGCTGTACAAAATCATCACCCACTCTTACACAAGATTTAGCTTGGTACAATTGTGTAAAAGGGACTGTTCTGAACGCAATGAAACCCCCGTAAACCATAGCTCAAAAGTTATTGTTAGGAATCTAAACAATTCCAATTTTACATTAAATCGGAGTATCACTCTGTTTAAAAAAGTATGATAAAAGAAGTATGGCCTCTCAAAGCAAGGCAGATATCAAAATCAGAAAAGATACATGCAGCTGCAGCAGAGAGTCTATCAATCTCTAACGTATAGCCAAGAGTCAATGAAATAAATTGTCAAGTCACTCTTCCGGATTCGATACGACACTTACAAGTAAAGTAAAGATCTGACTTTGATATTTGACAGACAAGGTTTGCGCACTTATATACTATGAGCCTTGCTATGGTTGGTTTATTTGTTAGGTCCTTTATACCCATTGTTCTGCTTTTATACAATAGAATAAAGATCATTAATGTGTATGTGTACCTAGGATGTCATTTCGTTCATACGGCTAAAATCAATGCAAAAACGATTTTCTTTACTTTGTTATAACAATTATTGCTAGCTGAATTTGTGTTATATAACATCAAAGACGTAATGTAAAAAGATGAAAAGATGACACAAGTTTGAAATGTAAGCAAGAAGTTATCATATTTATAATAGGAATAAACGAGAATAAGAAGTGTTTAACCGTTATAAGCAAGGTTTTAGCTATACACTTTATTGTGACACATTCATATTGCTTATAAAGAACAAGTTTAAGGGGCAGGATTGGCATGTTCACCTGAGAGAAATAAGTAGCCCTCAAACTAAGTTAGTAATGATACGGATAGCTGTAATTAACACAGCTAACAAATAAAATCCTCTTCGACGTGCTAATGCTAGATTGAAAAACAATATGGATTCTTCTTTCGTTACATTCTCCCCCAGGTAAAATTCTGTTCGTCCTCGCAATAAATATCTCAAATATTCCTGGAACGATATGCACAGGAGGGACATTGTATGAGATGTTTTAATCAAAATGGTGTTATCAATTATTTCTTTCACATCAATGTTCAAAATTTAACAAAAATGAAATATACATATAACACATGTCATATATAAATAATACACCTCCATAAAATATTATCTAACTATTTAGAAAGGTATTAAATATTCAATCTAGAGAACACCAAGTCTAGTCTCTAGTAGCTGAAATCAAGACAAATGGGAAATAACTTAAATTAGTTTTTAAATTCCATCGTGGCAAAACAGTGAGACGATGGTCTTACTGAACGGATGATACCCGTCTTGTTAAGGGGATATTTCCCAAAAGGAAGAGGCAATGATCAAAACATTAATGGACCCAAGTTTGAGTATATTTTGAAACAACATAGGATATACATGACTCATGATGTTCTTGACGCAGTATCTCATCCACTGCCGTATTTATTTATACAGGAATCCAATACAACTCGATAAAACCCCATATGACATAAAAGACATACGTATCACTACCATAATAAGCCTTATTGTTCTGCTTGTAAGCTATAATTTCCTCTAGAAGCGCACTTTGTTTATAACCATTTGTTTCCTACTCCGCCATTTTCAGACAGTGATCATATCGTCACCATTTTGCATAGTTTTATAGGTCTTCCCAACAAGAGATTCTCATAAATAGAGACATGATACTTTCATTATCTCGACAAGGCTTGCCATGATATTACAACACAGATCCAATCACTTAAAGAATCACATCAGACCTTTATGGGGAAGACACAGGTAAAGAAGCTAAAGCTGAATCATCCGGATAATAAACCAGAAATAAGGAATGTACCCAGTGTCTGAAATTAAAACGTGACCAAACTTGAAAGCAACTCCACCCACCATTCGCACATCAAAAATGTTAAAAAGGGTTTTAATGTACCATTCTTCTAATCATTAGTAAATTTTGAAATAATCGAGCATAATCTAAATTTTCGACCAAAATGAACCAACTGAAATTGACAAGCTGATAATCATTTTCGTCAATAAGTTCAACTTGTTTAATTAGCATGAACTCGAGCACAAACAAGGAAGATTTAAGAACCGATATTTGACTTAATAACAAAAATATTATACCATTTTATGCAGGTATTATATTATTATTGTCTATTGACTGATTCGCTTTTATTTGGCATAGATCAGTATCACTCAAATATTGTGTATAATTAGAATTCAATACGTCGATTGTAACCATGCGGGTGTTTCTTCACTTTATATATAAACAGGCTTTATAATTGAGTGAAACTGTGTTTGGAATTGACTGGCAGTCTCCTATGTCCATTGATTACAATGGATCAGTTGGGGGAATAAGGAAACATGTTCGTGTCTCACGTCGATATACAAGTCTGTTTTGTTTGCTAACTCAGACCAAAGCTTCCATAACAAAGTACGTGTCACTCAAAGACCTATTGAACAGTTTCGAAGTAAGTACGAAACATAAATGAAACTATCTATACTTTGTATTCAAATCGCCATTTTGTGTCGAGACTATTGTCAAGGACTCAATTATGTAAGAGTATAATATTCCCGTAGACCAGGGTATAATTATATTAACAGGTGTATTAGCACATAGTGTCGCCATATATCCTCAATCATTCTAGATTCATTTCGTCAACAGTAGCCATAGTCTGTCTCAAATTAAGGATTTTTTTGTGTTATGTAATATGACGTACCTAATTTACAGAACAGAAATAATATTGATCTTGGAACATTTGATTCCATCGAAAAGATGGTCTTAATATTGAACTGAACAAATACGGCATTGGTATTCGATTATAAAATGGTTTACAATGGTCTTTAACAAACCCATACTGTTTCCCATCCTTATTTTATCAAATTTTAATTGGCAGAACAACCTGCATTAACATGATGCGTAAAATGATAGAAAAGTTTATCTTACGTGATCCACTGCTTCGCCGAATAATATTCTCTAGGAATGTATTTTGCGGGGCCACTAAACCCCTTCTTGAGGCGGGCATAGTTATGTCGTATTCCTTATCAGTAATATATCCAAATCACACATACAGGTAACATAGGTTTAGTAAAAGTTAATCTCCCGGTACAGTTAGTGCTTTTCTTGCCTCCATGATAATCCAAAAATCTAATATGACATTTTAACGATCCTGTGTTTCTAGAAGTTGTCGTTTTCTACCTGCTGCCTGCCTACTGAAATATTAATATATCTGAAAGTTGTCAATGCGCATGCGTTGTTGTAATAATTATCCGCCCGGTGGAATAGAGAATGTGAGAAGCCTATTAAATATGTATTGTTGATAGCCGAGCAACTATTGATGGGACCAAGCAATAAATGAAATTAAAAATAATAACAATGTCCACTTATTACAAAATACGATATTGGGTTGAATCGATCTTTGGAGCCATTAGAATACTAGTTAATAAGTAATTCTAGTTGTTGATCCAAGATCGCAGGGACCCCTGTAGGAAGGTGGCAGCTCTATGGTGAGAGCAGATCTCTGTACAACTTACAAGATTTTGCACTCATGCTAGGCATTAATGTGCACTGAGACTGATTTAACTCTATTGTGGTCTCACTAATTAATTGTCAATATAATGAATTTCAAAGGTTTGTATAACATCGTTATTAACGTCCATATTGTTCTAGCCAGCGAACAAATAAGTAAGAAAGCGATTGCGTTTCATAAATCGGTGTTTATTAATGGGAACGAGTAAAATGATAGCCTGGTGAAGTCAAGTGTAGCTGTTATGCCTGACTATTTAAAAGAAGGTCAAGGAATTAGACCTTTGTGTAAATGTATAGGTACCTGGACAACTATAACTGTAGAGGAAAATATACCGACGCCATAAAGCCTCCAAATGATCCCAAATGGGTAATCTCCCACTTTGTTACCATCGTCCTAGCAATAATAATGAACTAGTAACTTAAACAAAACTGCCGTAATGAATAATAGAACAAGTAAATACCAACGACTATTTGGTATTGAACGTCACTGACTCTTGGCATTGATTAGACGCTAGTGGTGGCTACCACTCTATTGTTAACGTACACCGATGACGTAACAACGTTTACGACATACACATAACTATCATGCTTCCCATGTTAGAGGTCAGAATCTGATATTTGCACGAACAGATCAAGTTTGAGAGTAACTTGTTTAGACATAACACAAAGTAATATTTAAGCAATAGGATGTCACATCCTGTTGTTGGTCTTTGATATTGAGCGAAATATATTCATATGCGGTACAGCAAGGAGGATTGGCTCCCAGAATGCAATCTCGATATTTTCCAACACTGTCCACAGTTTCTACCATCCCTTAGAAGAGTGGGATAGTGACTGCAGAAAGTGTTTCCTACTTCCCAAAAATGTACCGACAAATTAAATCAACTTGAGAGATAAATTGACCATGAGTATATTGGGATGACATTGCCTACAGTGGCATGGTCATAGAGGTAGACAAAGCCTAATGGTATTGATATCACCCTTGTAATATTTCCCATATCAAATCCCTCTTGGTGAATAACTACTTTTTATTTGACGATATCGTTGATAATTGATCATTTCCGATACCAGAAACCACCCAATTATCCAATATCTGTACTAAATTTAAGACAATGACGGCGATCTATTTCCCAACAATCCATTATTCCTTGAATATAGTATTCAAGCAAAACAAACCAACATTTTGCCGATCGAAAACCTAATTGCTAATACATGAATTACTTTGTGGCATGGCACTAAATGGGAAGTATACCAACGGATCGTAAATTTCCAGTCTTATAATACGAGAGTGTAAAGCAACCTACCAACAAACGTAACCCTCCCTGTGGCTCGTATAAGGACGAAATATGGAAAACCAATGGGACATGAGGTGTGAATAACACCCCACCTGAGAAATAAGTGAAATTTCTAACTGGTTAATAAAATATGTTTCCGACCAGCTCTCAAAAGGGGTTGTTTGATATTTCATATTCAAAATATTGGACAGCAAAACCTAAATCCACCACAAAAATAACAATATTTTGTCTGATGCTTTCACTCTGTCATTTAAGAGGTAACCCTTATTGGCACTTTCTCGCGAAATCTGAAACAAATGATGCACCAGCAATGTTAATTTAACCAGTGTGCTGGAGGATACAAAATATTAGACAAATGGTATATGCGTAGAAAAAGTATTTTATTGCATGGGTAACACACATCTAGCATCGCCCTTTTAAGACCTAATGTTAAACATATCTTTTATGTAGCTTGAAAAATATCAACGTAATCGATGCTCTGTGTGTGCTGTAATCCGGGTCTGTATCACCACAAACAAAACAAAACTTTGTATTTTGACAAAAAATCATCATTTAAGCTATTTTGAGATGTAATAAGGAGTATTTTCAGTATACATCGCATGATTATGATAACCAGTTGTGATGACTTTGAAATTGCACATCAAATAGCGCTGGTATCAACACACACAGCGCATGCTTTTGTAGAACAACTGATTTTGAAAATATCAATTATCGTAAATCTGCCCATACATAACACCAATATATCTCTTTGTTGGGTTTACATACATTGTGACCTATCCAGACAGAGTCAATGAAATATGAAATACACGAATATTTAAACAATATACCGAACAATCTTGTTCTCAAGTTATTCCATGAGAAATAATCAATGATAAACCAAATCTATGCTTTCTAAGTAAGGATTAACAACAATCCAATGACATTGAACAATGTTCCAATGTTATGGTGCACAGTAACCCTGATGTGCCATTGACAACATATAGACACGGGAAATGTAAGCTAATCGTTGAGAAAGCAAGTACAAAACAAAGGGGGATCAAAAACAGAACCGCCTTAAAGTTGAACTATTCAGCCCTAAGATATTAACAGTCAGTTTTTCCAAGTACAAAACTTAAATCTATTGATGAGAACATAAACATAAAAATTGGTGCAATATCAAAAATGGGCCTACTTTTTCAAAGAAGACTAAAGACTTTCAACTTAACGGTTCAACCAAGTGGATACTTTTAAGATCGTATTGACGTGTCGCAAAAAGGTGGCGCATTTGTTTTTTAAGGGTATCGCGTGAATGTAACTTTGATTCCCCGGAATATAAGATAATATTCTAATTAAAGTTATATATCATTTTAAAGCTGTTTCGATGAAGATTTTAGATCAACTACACTCCGTTCACATTTTTTGCGCGTTCGTTTTTAAAAAAGAGTTTTTTACCAAAACATCTGGCAAATATCCCATGTTGACACGTTACATTTTGAATTATTTTTCGTCTTTAAACGCTCATAACTCAAACAATATATGACTATTATACTTATTTTTCGTCTTGATAAAGGTAGATGGAAGTTTTATTTCAAAGGATGAATTTTAGTAAGCGTCCCATATTGTGACGTCATAGAGTCTGAAAAATAGAATCTGTTGACAGCGACCTTTTTTGCTCATTTTTTGGTACCTTCAACTTTTCAGGTGTACATTAAACAAAAAATACGAGATCAATTTTTAATAAATCATACATGATTATTTTGCTCCTAAACTCTAGTTTATTGATAATTAGTTGATTTTGTTCACAAAAGTATGTGTTTTTTGTTGTATGTGGAAAAGTGGAGGACGAAAGGTTTTCAAAATTCATTAAAATAGGGCTAATTTACGCCATTCGCCTATTTTCAAGCACAGCAACACGTATATTTATTTCACCTAAAATATCAATTGATTCGTGTTTTATGATGCTCCTAGCCCATTAACAATATATATATGATATCAGAGTTATTCGTCTAAAATGTTTTGAGATATAGAGGTAAATGTGGAGGACGAAAGGATTTTCATGTGTGTACATTTTTCTCAAAAACGTCACATTCTATCATGTTAAAAGCGAGGATCCTCTGGATTACGCCACAAAATGTGTAACAATGCGTGCGCGAGCTTTTTGCGACCCGTCATTAGTTTCTTCATTAGCCGGATTTTGTAAAAATAGAGGAGCAGATCATAAAAATCGAGTGTGCCAGTAACATCTGTGTCACCCTAAGGTATTAATAACCTTGTATGATGTTTTGCGACTTTATCCATTGAAGCCGCTCCTAGTGTGTTCCGAAGTGTTCTTCTTCACCCCAGACCTTGACATCACCAAGATAATTTGGAGGTCAATCAAGTAATATTAACACTAGCGATGTCGGCGCGGACTAGTTGTGACATGCTCTGATCTACACTAATAGAAGATTCATGTTGAAATCGTAACCCGAAAATGATGGACAATGGATAAGTGAATATGTTTTGTTATTCTTAACTGTGCATTTAATCATTATAAAAAATGTATATTACATGTATGCCTATTAATTGTAAATGCTTATAAATAATAAAAAGGTTCTGTGTTGATGCCTGGATGCTCCATGTTTTACGATTTATTTTTGAATTTGTTTGATTTCATGATTACAAATACAATGACCCTAAAAGGTTTTACACGATACGTTTTTACAATGTTGCAGAAGATAAAGGACATCGATCCGACTAATGAATCGAATGGGACCTTCTTGATCTGAAATTAAAACTCAGTAATCAAAAACGAAGGACTGGTACACAGGGTAGCAAACATTAAATCATGAATCGTCCATTTTCTATTCGGAAATGTTTAAATGATTGGTCTGGATTTCGATTAATTATTTGTTACGAGTGGACAATTGTATGGTGGTTAGGTGGAATCACTAACCTATATCAATTGTTCATTGATGGAAGCTCAAGCTAAAAAAGAAATGTATATGCTTCTTTGACGAATAGATGTTTGATATCAATATTGATTTTGAGACAACAATGTAAAATTCAAAAATTCAGTTAAGTAAAATTGTGAAATTAATGAATAATCCCTTTATAGAAAATTGCACCGAACAAACAATGGCTATTCCAAGCCTAACTAATAAACTCTACTAGTACAACAAATCTGATACTGTTAAGCCCGGGGACCACTTAATTAATATAGTTGACAAAACAATCCTTTACTAGATGAATTCAATGTGCAAAGCCATATCCAGATTATTAATGTGCATAATACAGGGTTGTCCAAAAATATCAGGAATAGGCCTTGAATTTTGTAAATATTCACTCATACGCTTTATATCTTGTGACGTCTTCCCATCTTTTGCTGAGTGAACTCCATGATAACGTCATATTTAAAATTTAGTATGCAAAGGTAGCCAACACAATGTCAGTTGGGGTTTAGTTTATTTCACCCAAAATTTAGAATTTTTTTTATTTCTCTGATGTAGAATTCATTCTCGAAGCGCTCGCCACAATGGCAAATACACTCCTGACGTAATTGTTATCCATTCTGAATGAAAAACTAAAATTAACCCATATTTTGACATTTCCCTAATCTTTTAATACTGGGCTTCATGTATGTCAGCATGCTAAGTATTTTGCCCTGCGCAACTCTTGATGCGACTTGGTTTATTGATGTAAGGTTTGTTTCGGTATTGCACCAGTATTTGTCATGACATCTTTGAAATTTTAAAGCGTTGCGTTCAATGCGACATTTATTTGAGGAAGACAAGGTAATTTTAAACTTTTATCATTATGTATTCAAAAACATCTTTTATATGTTCACTCCATACAGACTGGCAGTCAAATATTTCGTCCTTTTCGAATTAACAAACAATACCAATCTATTCTAGTGACGTTTTCAGATACTCTGTTTCTGGTCTGATGTTGAAAGCAGCAAGAGTTGCCAAGGTTTGGAAATGTAAGCACTGGTGCCAAATGGGGAAGTACCATAGGCATTTCACTTGTTGCAGACGCTGACCACCGAACACCAACCGCCGAACACAAAAAGCTGGAGACTAACTGGAGCAGATGGAGGACGATCAATGCGCACGTATATGTGTAACATCGAGCTCAACGAATGCACATAACCCCCTGACCATTTCCAAACTGTATTGGCCTGTGGACATACGGCTTTGGAGTTTTTCAGCTGCGTGAAAGTGACTACAGGAAGCTGGAGGATGGACATAAAGCTATTGCCAAGAAATGCCAATGACTACCCCAGAACATAAGTGAGACAGCTGTCCTAGCACAATTAGGCTGGCATAACATGACGTACAAGATTAGTTTCATGAAATTAATGTTCTTATGGAGTATTTATTTTTACCTATTAGGAACATTTACAGAAGAATTTGTATCATTCTGATGAGTGCTGCCAACCTTAATGTTCAATCTCCGTTAAATGATATAATTTACACATGTGTTACATACGATTTATGGTCAAATGTCATGCATATGCTAAAATCTGCAATTGTACCCAGTAAGGAACAATATAAAAGAATGGTTACTAAAAAGCTTAGGAATATCATCTCAATGAATGAGAATTGTGTTGAAACTTCGTCCAATATGGTTCTAGAATGCAAAGGCCTTAGTGAAGCACGAACTCCATAAATGGACTTGAGAGAATATGGAGTTTTAGATTTTATAAACGTTAATCAAGAACTCAATTTTATATTTGAAAAGGGTCAGATACTAGATGACAATGAGTTAATTCAAATTGTAATAACCGTTTTGAAATGTACAACATGCTCCCATGCGAGGAATATGTGAACTGTTAATCATCCTTCTTATGAAATAACAACACAAATGTAACATACATGTATGTTATGATCTCTTTTAAAATTTCTTGACCAACACGAAGGACAAGCATCCACTTGGTTTACTTCACATGACTAAAGGATGAAGAACATTGGTAACAAGCAGCAGACTCGCATATTATATGCACGGCTACTTTCAGGGGATCGAAGCGCGTCTGGTGCAACTGGAAATATTGGACGCAAACCTTTTTAATCTCTTCAAATTTCTTGACTCACAGCAATAACACGAAGGAAAAGCATCCACTTGGCTTACGATCACATGACTGAAGGATGAACAACATTGGTAACAAGCAATCTCGCAAACAATATGCACAGCCACTTTGTGAGCCTTTTACCAGAGAGGTGATACACGTTGCTCAATAAAGAAGAGATGAGAAGGTTTTGTAGAGGTATCGGTTGAAACAGATACATGTAAAGTTGCTTGAAACATAAGAGCTAGTCAGAAGATATAATATCCAGAGGTTAGTTTGGTTTTAATGAACATCACAAGCCCGTCCGCCAGTTTATTATCCCAAAATACCGATCCTATTATGGAACAGTTAAAGAAAAGACCAGCTGACATACAAATGGCTTGAGGACTCCTTACTAATAATTTTGGTGCCAAAGGGAAATGAACAGTTGGACTGTGGATGCATATCAATCGAACAATATGATAAGCGCACATACATATATTTAAATGAGCTTGTGGTCGCGGGCCTGAGACAAAATACCTCGAGCTCATGGGATACAAATGATTGGAAAGCTAGTACCATGATAAACCATGACATCTCAAATGTTCTCAGCCCTGTTTCAGGTGAAACAGAAAGATGCTATGAGTATCAGAATGGAAAGCTAGTGATAAGTAATGTATCATCAAGCTCATATCTTATTGATATATAGTGTAGTATAGTGTCAGTTCATCATATTCTTCATTAATCTTATCTAAGACTTAACAATCGAGGTACGGCAAATTAATCAAGACTTAATGAGAATTGTGTACTCAGCGGGATCACGTTACAGATGCTTCGGATCTAACCTAGGTCCCACATACAGTTGCTTTTATGTCAATATGTTTACTTACTGGTATTTTGATAGATATAGAGACACCAGATATCACAGATCTAGCTAAAAGTCATACAACACAGGAGATATCATATGGTATATTGATGTCGGATGTCACAGACATAGCCTATCGTCAATTAAGCCCCATATAGAGTTGCTTTTATTTATCCATTGGTATTTTGATAGATATATTGATATCAGATCTTGCTATAATCGACTAGGCCCCATACACAGCTGAATTTAAGCCCAATACCCTGCTATGCATTGTGGAATGATCATTCCTTTCGGCCGTTGTTTCTAAAATTAACACTCGATGCTGCGCATCTCGCGCTCGTGCAAATTTTGGAAAGCAACACCTTCTATTATTGGACATTCCACGGACTAAAATTCTCATATCGTGATGTACGAAGAATAATATATGCTGCCATCAGGGTTTACATGAGTAGTGATGTTATCGATAGTATAGGTCACTATCCATATTTCTTAGAAAAGATAAACGTTTAAGAGGTGAACCATTCCGTAATTGTTCTTATATTGAAACTGTATTCGTTTCGTTTCTAACTGTTGGCTTGGGCAATCATTGGAGAGTCCTTTGGGAAATATACATATATGCCGTGGACCCTTTGGCATCCACTAAGTCTCATGCCATAACACCAGGACGCATTTAATCATCATTCTGAGATCATTTACTCATTACAAAATCATATTGCTACTGATATTAATAAAATATTTACGAGGCAGCGGCAATTTTACTCGACAAGAGACCGCTGGATACCACGTGGGAATAATTGTTGTGAGCCTTTTTAGTATTACATCATGTGTTGTCCTTATTCCATCCCATTGCAATATCATTCAGGAGTACATATTGGTGGAAGGGAAAAGAATTGGTGCAATTTGAGAATTAATGTCAGTTGAAGTTTTCTTGGTTTGACAATGGTATAAGACGTCCTACATGTCAGTTCAAATGTAACGTTTTAAATGGATAGCATTATATAACTTGAAACGTTTATATAACGTTGATAATTACAACAAAGTGAAAACGTTCTGATGTCACCTTTATATTATTTCGGATAGACGATAGAAAGGATTTATTTATTGCACGTTTGTTCAATTCAACCTTCCGATGGTCAGCGAATCGTGCATCACGGATGGGGGAGAGAGTATTTATTTATTTTTGAGAAAAAATAGACCCAACACAATCCTATTGTTTTAAAGGAAAAATTAAATAAGCACTGAACATAGAAACAATGATTTCTATATTTAGTACATGTACGTACATGCTAATGAGCCAAATAACGTACGTTATTAACCTGAATTGACTTTCCAAACTGCCTTCCTCCATACCTTTTATATTATTACATAGGTCCATTCATGTAGTGTGATGATCTATCGATTGAATAGATGGAACCACAAGTCAGACCTCACAACTTGACAAACTGTCGTCCTCTAAACAGAACAGTGCTGGTCTCTATCGACAACATTTAATTGCAGAGGGTGGAGTATGTGATGGTGAATTAATGACCATAATTCTCAATTATAATGGTTCGTATTTGAACCCTTCTTGGTAATTCTAAACGGTCTTCTAAACCACAGCAACAATACGCAACTGAAAATCATTAACATTCAGAAAAGCAATTTGAGAAATTACTTAATAAACATATGTGACTTAAAGATTTAGGCCATATTTACCCTTTGCAGTTCGACTTCACTTCTTAAAAACTAGACTCTGCGTGCAGGGTAGTGCTCCGTCTTGCATTGAATGACGAGGTATTCAGTTAGATTAACTGTACTCATTAATTTATATTTATTAATATAAAAAAACTTCAAAATCTCATTAATTAATAATACTAAAAACATGTCGATACTTATATTCAAACATGTAGGTAAATAATTATATAGTGAAAATATATTAATCTAAAAAATAGTGTATTTGTAGTCGTAATACAGTCATAGTATTTACATGACAATCAATAAGAGGAGTGTGAACAAAACCCAACAGTGAAAAGAAGTGAACTGCAAGTGCCACCTATAGGAATACTAACTCATCATTAATAAAAACGTCATATTTATCATTAAAGGGAATGCGAAGTTTTGTCCCTTAAACTTGATAATAAGTTAGAATAAAGATACATCTTTCAATCCAACTTAGTTTTGTTGTTCTATCATTAACCCATTGGTTGTTATTGAGCCCCGGGTTTTTGCATGTGAACTGGACCATGGAGCTGCCATTTTAACCGTAAAGTGGTTCTTTACGACATTGTTATGACGTCATTGATGCCATAGCATTCCAAAAGATTTCTGGCGCCATTTTTGAAGAGAATGCCTACATGTTTATATTTCGGTTGTAACAATAGACCATCAAAAGAAAATAATATAAAATTCCACAGGATTCCGGATGGAAGTAAAAATCGGGAATTAGCGGCCAGATGGCTTCATAATATTGGAACAGTAGATCAAAATGGTATACCGTGGAATGTAAACAATTTCATTTTCAATAAATACAAAACAATTTGCAGTGACCATTTTCGTCAGGATGACTATTCAAATAATGAACAATTTGTCAGTGTATTTGGGACAAAATTCCAAAAATCAAAAACTTGGAGCAAGACTCTAAAAGCAGACGCTGTCCCAATCCTGTATAAGCCCGTTTATAGAGGCACTCTGACTGTTTCGTCTACATTCAACAATTCTGAAACTGAAACACGGGATGAGCGATCTAGAAAGAGAATCAAATCCCGTGTAAGTTTTTCCATTTCCATTAATGTCTTCAGCTTATTGTCATTACATGTATCAACTTTTACTTTCCCATATCATTCATTTATACTGAATCTGATTAAATCAGAAAGTTTATTGGCCATATAGTTTCTGAAATAAGGTAAAACAAAAAACGGCCAGACATGCTCCTGCCTGCAACGTTTGCTAATCGCGAGCCTTTTAGTCGGAATAATGACGTTGATCTGAATGGGATCTGGCTTTATATACACTACACGCGCGGACTCGACAGAGCAAACCTTCTAACCTATATACGTGACCTGGCTTTATAAACAATACACGCGCGGCCTTGACAGAACAAACCTTCTAACCTATATACGTGACCTACTAACATAGATACGTCACTAGCTAATTTGCATAAAGTTGTTGCAGTCTGAATCCACTTTTCTCACTCTAAACTGGCTGTTTAAGAAATGAAATGTATCGGTCTATTACTCCGCCGTTTGGTACGGGATTTCTAAATAAATAAGACCATTATTTGGCACGCAACGATAGCTTTCCGATGGTACCACTCTCGTAGTGAACAGATTGTGAGAAAATGTGTGAAATTAAGGGTAAAGACGATTTTTGGAATTTCCAAAGAAATACTGCATTCTGATTGGTCGGCTTTCTTGCAGTCCCAATCCACTTTTTGGCCTCCAAACTCGATGTTTTAGAAACTGCACTCATCTGTCTTTTTCTCCGTCGTTTGCAGGTCGATTTCTAAATTAATAGTGCCATCGTAAAGCTGACAATAACAGCTCCCCGCTAGTATCCTTCTTAAAGCGATCTGTTTGTGATTTGTAAATTCGAGACTAAAGGCCTTTTTGAGAATTTTAAGATTCAGTTAAGAAAATATTGAGAAATCGGGCATTCTGATTGGTCGGTTTTCTTTTTTCTTAAAAGAGTCTCGAAAATACAAACAGGAATCATTAAATTATCTATTTTTAAATAATATCATATAATATTTATATTTCATCTCCTTCTATAGACAATGGATTTATCATCATTTTAATTTTTAGGAAACGGCAGAATTCCTTAGAGCTGTAACCGAGAGAAAATCCAAGGCACCCAGAAAGCCGGCCAGACCTAGTGCAAGGAAGACTACTCCCAAACTAGTTACACTTGTATGTGCACTTTTCGTGTTTTTAATTGATACATAAATTACTTATGGTCCAAGATATTAATAGAATGTAAATTGCTTTAATCTGACGGCCGTTTTTAATTTGAATGCTATTAAACTATTATACTATTTACGAAGATGTACGGAATCCCCGCTGGTTTAAACAAAACAATCTGAAACGAGGAGATAGTACTTGCCCTAAAAATCAAAAAGTCCTTAGTTAAGCCTTAATGTCCTGTTTAAGAACCCATATTCTTACTATTGAAATTATGGATTCAAGCAATACTATCTAACATGAATCTACTTGTTGAGATTTGATCAACACGCATGAATTCTTCTGAGAAAATTAGGCTTTCAGAAAGGGGTTAAAGGTATGTATGTCCCTTGCTGAAATTCTCAATTTCTCAAAAGAACTGAAGTTGATCGAGTCCCAACAAGTAGACTGATATTGCAGGGGCGTAGCCAGCTTTCAGTCAAGGAGGGAGGGATCGCCAATTTTTCGGTTTTCAGTCGGGGGGAGGGTTCGAACGTGGTACAAGCAACCCAAAACGTTTTTTAAAGATTTCTTTTGAATAAAACAAAAACTAATGCTATTTCCATTCAAAATTGAGTTAGAAGCCTCAAATATAAACATTTTGAAGCTCTTTTCTTCCATTATCTAATGGTTATATTTCAATTGGTTATGGGGGTGAGTGCAACCCCCTCGCTACGCCTATGTATTGGATAGTATTTCTAGAATCCATTTTTAATAATAAGAATAGGGTTTTTAATCATGACATTGGGCTTGCTTTTAAGAACTTTGGGTTGGAAGTAAGAAATAAAATTGCGTCGCATATCAGTGGTTAGCTTTGATGTAATAGACGCGATTGATGGTCAACCCCAAAATAAACGGCAGTAAAAATTGCCCGATCCGCTAAATTAAATAACCCCAAATTAAAGCAATTTACAGTAATATTGTCGTCATAACGATCATTTACGATCATGTCTCCAAAATCGGTATCTTGTCATAAACTCAAATGCTTTCCAGCCAATAATTCCTACACATTGATATTACGCTGAAAACAAATAATTTCAATATCATTACAATTACAAATGTCACAAATGGTGTCATTTCAATGCCTTCAGATATTAAAACATATATCCTTCACGATCCGTCTTGTGATTTGTATCTATTATCAATTCATATAATTTCTCAAAATGCGTGTACAAGTAACTAAACATTGGATGATATCAATATCGAATACTCTGATTTACCATTGATTCATTTAATTCAGGTGGATGCATCAACTCAGACTGACAACAACTCAGCAGAGAATTGTTTGAGATGTTGTGAATTTGCTAACAAAGGCAACATTAACCGTGAACATAGCTATACCAAGTCACTACCACCTCCCAGCTCAGGAAATACCACCAACAAACCCTTACTCCTAACATCTACTCCTGTGAAATCAAGTGAAAATACCAAAGAAACTTTCATAGAAAATGTTCAAACTAAATCAAGCAATTTGTTTGATAACTCATTCGAATCAATTATGAATGATAGTTCGCACTCTGATATACCAAATGAAGACATGGACATAGATTATGTGCCAGGCGATATTTCAATAGAAGAGGAAGAGCATGAACATTTACTTGACTTAGAGAATACTTCTATCAGTGATACCGCGAGAACAGTAGTGCAAGACAGTAAATACATTGTCTTTGACCAAAACCTCGAGCAGCTTTATTCTTTGATACACTGCCCACAATGCAGATCAGTACTCGATAGGCTATCAGTGAAAAAGACCTTCACCGGTAGCATGATATCAATCAAAGCAAAATGCCTATATGGGCACGATCTTATCAACTGGAGTTCACAACCAACTCTGGCAGGCAAGACACCAGCAGGTAATGTCTTAATACCTGCTGCCATTGTCCTCAAGGGGAACACCTTTTCCCACGTTGAGGAGTTCGCCGATATTCTTGGTCTGAAGTTCATAAGCGACAAGGTATATTATGAAGTACAAAAAAATTACATCACGCCTGCTGTTGAAGCCCTGTGGCACAGTAAACGGATCAAAATAAAGGAAGAGATCAAAGATCGCATGTCAGTTATAGTCGCAGGTGACGGGCGATTTGATTCGCCTGGCCACAGTGCAAGCAAATGCACATATACTGCAATGGATCAAATTACAAACAACATCATTGATTTTACATCCGTTCACGTGCGGGAAACAACATCATCACAAGCTATGGAAAGATTTGGGTTTAATAATATCATGACACAGCTACTAGATGAAGCCATTCCAATTACAGATCTGGTGACAGATCGACATTCTGGCATCAAAAAAGACATGAAGGACACATACATTCCACAAGGAATTACAATGAACTTTGACGTTCAACACATGTCTAAGAATCTGAAAATCAAGATTGCAAACAAAGCAAAGTATGCCAAGTATCGGGCCTTGGCACCTTGGATCCGACTTATTACGAACCACCTGTGGTACTGCTCGGCCAATTGTGATGGTGATCCTAAAAAATTACAAGAGATGTTCGACAGTATACTGTATCATATTACAGACCGACACAGAGATTTCGATCGAGAAGATGACAATGACTACACGATAATCAAAGAATGCAGTCACGATGACATGGCTGAGGAAGAAAGGAATGGTATTGATTGGCTACGTAAAGATTCTCCACCCCACGAGGCCCTGAAAGACATAATTCGCTCGCGGACATTTTACAATGACTTGCCCTATTTGGTGAAATTTCTGCATACTTCGAACCTGGAGTCCTATCACGCTCTACTGAACAAATATGCACCTAAGCGGGAAAACTTTGACATGCCCCAGTACGTTTGTAGAACACAACTTGCAGCTTTAGATCACAATCACAACACGAACCGAAGACAAGCAGTCGTTGTTCGTGAACGGCCTGGGACTGGCCAGGCCGGAACGGCAAGGTTCAGCCAGGCCTATACCAAGGCAACGTCAAGGTATGTTGCGAAACCCGTCAAAGTTGCCAAAACATACGCTTATATGGACGACCTCCTATTGGATATCGTAACACGCAAAATGACAGGTGTCATCGATCAGGTGGAAACACGCAAGCAAGCTCGATTGGGACCTGCTGGTGTAACAAAGGCGGACACTATTCAAGCCCATCGGAGGCGATCTGATATGAACTGATTTTATAAAGGTTGGTACACAATTCAAGGTTTCATAAAATATGCAGAACTAATTGTCAATATTCGTTTGGTCTACCTTGAACCAATAAATAGAATTTTTGAAAATCGTACCGTGTTTTCTACATGTGGCCAATATTTTTAATGCACGTTTTTCATTTTTTAATTACCTCTTAAATTGTCGATTGCTGGAGAGGAATAATTAAAAGCGTTTAAGCATAACAATTAACAAAGTTTATTATGCAGGAACATGTAAACATGAGTGAGCTAAAGTGTAAAAATGATAAACATGGAAACCCTAAAACTTCATGAAACATTCCTACGATAAAATGTAAATGATATTTTTTTCTTTAAACATAAAATAAATCTTAAATTTTCGCAGGATTTGATACATTGTTTAAGCAATAAAAATATTACAGTCATTCTATATTTTTAGTCAACACTTTTTAGAGTCTTGACTGTTTCACTCATCATCCTGGTTCTGGCTTGTCATTTCTTCGATTTCTTGATAACCTTCATAGTGTCCATTGCTTTCAGGAAACTCCTTTCGGATGCGGTTAATGACGCAGGCTGGCAAACGCACTCGGTTACCTCGTCCTAGGCGATGCCCCATCATGGCCCACGTGACAAACTGACGATACGCAGCTAGTCTATACTGCCTTGAATAAATATGAAACAATGTCATGACAATATATTGTACACGAAGGAGAACGATTTAACAGACTAAGAGCAAAAATGCTGTGCATTAATATGTGCAGGCCCGTAGCCAGGGGGGGGTTCGCAGGGTTCGGGCGAACCCCCCCCCTGGCCAAAAGTTCTTTCAAAATCATGCAGTTTTTGACCATTTTGAGCACTTCTCAAGTGATTTTAGCCTAATTTGGGCCTAAATTGTCAAATGTGAACCCCCCCCTGGAAATTTTTGAAAATTGAACCCCCCCTTGGCAAATCCTGGCTACGGGCCTGATGTGTATATATCTACCTTTAATTAGAAACATGCAATGTTTGTGGAATTGATGTAGATACAGTATTATTAACAGTACACTTCCCTCCATAACTTTGGAAACGGAAACCATTCGGGTATTGATGATTGATTACATCAGGGTACTCAGGATATATAACTCGAACATTATACTAGTCATACTATATCTAGTAAGCTTTACTGACGTTCACTGTTGATTAAAATTAATATTAAAGTAACGTTCTTGTTGACGTTGATTTCGAACAAAGTTGCATTATATAGTGTTTATGACCACTCCTGGATATCACCTGGGACTAACATACACAGATATCACCCAGTTTGGATTGTCACGTTTCCTGATTACTCTTGTTTTTGTATTTGAGCCTCATAGAAGGATGTTCATAAGTTGTTTCAAAAAAGAATGTGTGATTAATTGATAAAAATAAATATAATGTACGCGATCGCTAGCCTTATAACGCTCGATAACTTACTTGTTGTTGAGTGTCTTGGGTACCTTCCCCTTCTTATTCTTGTATATGTGTATCCCCGCAAATGTGACCCGTAAAATGGGCTTTTGAAGAACAATCAAATAAAAATCGTCATGCATTAATATGCAGTCCCCTCGTTCACTGGGAATTTCTGACAACAATTCCACAAGATATGGTAATGCCACGGTCTTCCTCTCTAGCGGCCATTCTTGGCAACAAATACAATCTTTGGCAATAAAATCAGATTGTATTTCGCACTTTTCACACTGACACCAGTCTTTCGACAACATTCTATCTTGTGTGTCTTCTTCCTCAGAGCTAGAAGAATCAAGGCAAAGTTGTCGCTCTCCTCTCTTTGGATGGAACTGATATCCAAGAACTACACTTTCTGACATTTCTATTTATGTTTCCCCCGGAAGTAAGTAGAACGGTCTGAACGAAACATCTTAAAAATTCCAAGAAATTCAAAATTGCTTCACCCGGGCCGCCAGCTGCACTTCTTACCTTGGTCAATAAAATATTCTACAGTATATCCGGGGAGGGACTGGTCAAATTTTTGTACAGGGGATGCCACTGACATTTCTTCAAAATGGGACCCACATCTTTCGGCAAAAAGTGACCCACTTCAGTGGCAGTGCCCCCCCCCCCCGGAGTATATCTAGTATAATCGTGACACGCGCGTGAAAATAAAAATCTAACCATCACAGTTCCACGTTTAGATCTCTATAGATCAAGTTCCCGCTTCAATTAGGTCTCACGTTTATAAAAAATACTAAGTTTTATCGTGACTTAGAATGGTATATTGCACTTTTATTCATTGACTTTTTATTATTGTTTTTAGCCGAGATTAGCATTTAATGTATACACGTATTATTTAGACTTGAGGATTCCTCATGATTTTAATTTTTAAACACGTTTAAGTTAATTTGTCATTGGCATTGATTAGGCCTATTGATTTTGTTTTATTTTCTTTAAATCTGCACCTATTCGTCTAAGAGTAGAAGATCGACTGGCCGATTGTCAGTCTTTTTAGTAGACGCATTTGGAACTACAAATTGGAAATCTACCATTAGTTTAGAAAGCAATTGCGACAGTCAGGCCTATTTTCCGACGGATACCCTATTATTTAATATGAAACAATTCATTGATGATACTTTTCAAGTAGAATATAATGCGATTACTTTTCAGTCAAAACCAGTTAAATTCCGAATCGCGCAGCCGATATCTCATAAGTTTGGTGATATTTCTACCTAGCCTATACTATATCACATTGGAGAAAATAAACACAGTAGTTTAAAAACAGGCCGTGCAGGAATTAAATTCGTTCTTTAAAAATATATTGAAACAACCTTTCCAAATATATATGGCATCGACATGAAAATGCGGCAACAATATTAAGCGGACATAGTTATAAAATATCAGTAAAATGTGCTCTATTTCTGTGATTTGAGTATGACGTGATATCAAGCGACACTTCAGGCATCTATTTTAAGGCATCAATGACGTCATTGATACATAACAATGGCGGCATCCGCTGCGGTCCAGATATGGGTATTTTGAACTTGAATTATACGTTAGTTCAAACACGATATGTCCCATGAGTGAGCTGAAGTGATAGATGATGGTTATAAGTAGTCAGCGTGTAAATTAGAGCATGAAACTTCGCATTCCCTTTAACTACAAGTACGAGGGGTGATCAATAAGTAATGGACGCTTTTTTACACAGACGTTTTTCATATACCAATCCCTTTGATTTTCTCACCAGTGATACATCATTCAATAATCTATTAACTCTGATGATTTGAAAGCAAAACATGTAATATATGTTGATATATCTGTATTTCCGTGAAGGAGGTATAGGTACCCCGGGACCGACATAACATCACACATTCTGACGCTATTTTAGCTTGTTTAACATGCAATGCAGTTGAATGCAGGCTGAACAAAACTAACCATGATGGTCAAGAATTACACCATTCTGATATGCCATACTTGATTTTGAATATTTTATCATCAAAAGGTGGTATTCATGCCACATTCATTTTACAGGGCCCTCTGTATAGGTTCCATCGAGTGCTAGCTACATGTACACATTTCCTCACCCTCTTAACCCAAGATTGTGAGACAAGGCCGAATCCATTCTCTGACATGGAAGCAGGATGCAGTGGCACAGCTTGTTTTGTTTCATCAATGTCATTAAACCTGCTTCCTTTTTCTATAGAAATTAGTAATACTAGTATATAAATAAATAAGTCACATGTGGGCAGATCTGGAAAAAATGGTGCATTTGCCAAGGGCTCAGTTGAGGTCCAGGGATATTGTATTCTGAACATTTTGAGATCTTTGGGCAGGTGCATTGTCCATATGGAGGGTGCTCCTTTCTCTCACCAACTCCTTCTTCCACAATATTTTCTCATATTGACCTGCAAACCCAAACCATACAACACTTTGACATCACAATACTATACTGTTTATGTGTTACCAGTCAGCAAAATATTTTCAAGCAACACAACACAAATTGCATATCAAAAAAGTTCAAATCTAACTGAAATATGCCAGACTGGCTAAAAACTAAATATGTGACGTAAATGTCAGTCCCGGGGTACCTGTACCTCCTTCATGTAAATAAGGATATATCAACATTCATTACATATTTTGTCTTCAAATCTTCAGAATTGATAGAAAATTGAATGAACTATCACTGGTAAGAAAATCAAAGGGATTCGTTGATAAAAAGTATCTGTGTAAAAAAGCGTCCATTACTTATTGATCACCCCTCGTACATATGTTTTATTTCAATCCTTACACCATTCACCAACAAACAACAATTTTATCGTCTCTTCTAGCCCCACGTATCTCCGGAAGTAATCCCCTTCTCCATATTCTTTATGGTGTTTAAAACAGAGAAATGGGACACATATACCGACTTATTACAATACCAGCTGAATGTTAGGATAAATATCATTTTAAAATTTAAGGGACCACTTCCAATCTATTACAACAATGGGTCAGTCAGAGTTTAATTTCCGCAATGCATGTACTAGTGCTTTCCATCGCTCATCGAGCAGCGCTTCTCCATTGCATTTCTTCTTTGTCCTTGATATCATTTCATTTCTTATTTTAGTAGTTATTTCATTCGATTTGACATTTGCTACCTCTTTAAGGTGCTCGGGAAGAGTGCAAAACAGTCTATGTATAATCTTGTCGTCGCATAGCTCGTCTTTTCTATCTTCACTACTACAGTCCTTCTTGTGGTATCTACTAGTTTCTATTATCGGTGGTGCGTTGTGCAGCGGTGCATCTAAAACGTCGTTCTTGCCATGTATAGACGTGTGCTGAACACTACCCTGCTTAGTTCGAATACGAGGCAAGGCATATGCTGATCCGGGTCGAGTTTCGCCTAAAGCATGTAAATCATTCAGCGACTCATAGTTCGTTGTGATGGTTTTCCGTATCCCTTTATGCCCAAGTGCATTGATGCTAGGAGTAGGATTTTTTAGCTTTATATCTGGCAAGCTCGTTCGCTTCGTAAGTTTGGGTGAACAAGCTAACTTCGCAGAGTTAAGCTCAGCAGGGGGCTGACGTAGTACACCTAAAAGTGGCAATGATTGCGTTCTAGTCATTTCAGTTTGTTCCTGTGATCTCACAGTATCGCGAATTTCCTCATTTTGCTGCTCTGTACCATGCTTAGAATCAATAGATTCCTTCACGACTGATGTTTGAGCAAATATGCCAGCTTTGAGTGGAGGGAAGTGGTCACAATCTCGTCCAAGTTTTTGTTTTTCAGAAGTTTCAATTTGTTCCTCATTTGATTTATCAGTCACAAAGTGAAGCTTATCATGGTCGAAGACACTGCTGACGAAAAACTGTCGTTGTGCCCAATTTAGTGCGTCTAACTTTTGCCTCTTCTCTTTATCCAGTTGGTCTATGATGGTATGGAGTTTTCTGTCATGCCTGAAAATAGATTGAGATTGTTTCAGATATCTACGTCAAAAAATGCAAATTTTACACGTGACCTTTTCTATAACATTACGAACTAATTATCTTGAAAGCCACAGTCGGTCGGAATATGTCATATTCCTCAAATAAGTAAAGAACGTTCCACCGTGTATATGCGATACTGATTTCAGTGAAGCCCAAATGCTTCTGAACGAATCAGAAATGTATTAATCGTGATTGCCATAATACATCAAAACTTGTGATTTTCTAGTAGTTTTGTGTGTCTCTGGGACTATCGATTTAGTTAAAAAAATGTGAGTAGGGCATATTCACCTACAGTCTATAACATATTCCCCTGTGGAATATGACATATTTTTTTGTCGTGTTTACCACATTACACTATATATAATTACATAAAACATACAAGAAAATTGTAAAACTGAAGAATACGTTACCGTACCAAGGATTTGTCTTGAGGAAGACGTCTTTTAGATGAGTTTTAATTGGTATTCTGATAGGAGGGTTAGCGACACCTCTCTCCTCTGATCCCGATAGTTGATCCAGGAAAAACGCTTCATCTGGTATTTCCATTTCTTCAGGGGTGTTGGCCGGTACGACTGGTGTTTTCATAGTCTTGGTCAATCTTAGATTTATTTCCTTTTAGATACCGTCTAAATTATTCCTCGAATCCTCTACTTTTGCTTGTTTTTTACATGAATTTAGTGGTTGGTAATTGATTATTCTTTAGATTCGTTAGTGTTTCGATGTATTACTTCGCTAGTTACCTTGAATTCAACGCAACTTAGAATGATCTTGATGAATTACTAGGATTGTGTCTAATCAAATGCTCTTATCAGTTCCTAAATTTCGAACAATCACACTTGAATTTTTACTGATTGAAACTCAGATTGTTTATAGCTGCAATGTCACATTTTGAGTAACAAAGTAGTTGTGTTTAAGTTGACCTCGTTGCTAAAACAATGCAGTTCATAGTCTTGAGTCATGAATTATTTTGTTAGCCATAAGTTTAAGTGGTGTGATCAACCTAAGTAATTATGCATGAGACGGTATACATAATTCAACCGCTTATATAATTGCTGGCATTAATTACAAGTTTACATGAAGTCTGTCGGATAAGTAAATTACCTTCACATTGTCTCAGGTATTCCCTAAATAAAATAAATGTACTTGTATATATGTCTTAGCAGCCGAAATATTTAAATTGCTTTAAAGATAAAGTTGACCCAAACAAATAAACAGTCTGATATTATATACGTAATAACAATTAGGTATGAGTATTCTACACGAGTAGTGTAATATGTCACTGTATTTGCGTAAGTTAAGTTAGCAAAAACATTGACTGAGTTGTGAAACAAGTGTGAAAAAGAGAACATTTGCAATAACTATGAAACACGGAAACAACTTGTAAAATAAGTATTACTAAGAATTGTTTCTTATGGAGACGAGGCTCTCTTTTAAGAAGTGAAGTCGAACGAATGCAAAGGTAGTACATGGAATGCAATGACCTTTCTGCAGCGGAGCACATCGGTTCAGCAGATATTATGAATACAATAATGTACATGTCATATATTCAACAAATAAAACACATAGGGGTAGCCGGGAGGGGGTGCGAACATTAGAATAGAAAAATAAGATAAGTGAAGAAAGGAGCTTAGAAATATTTTTTTATTTGAAACTTCTCGCTTAATTTTGAAGGAAGTTGCATTAATTTGTGTAAAGTTCAAAATAAATCGTTATGCAACAATCGCACCACCTGACCAAAAGCTGGCTACACCCCTAACACTATAGATTATTGTTTGGGAAGAAGATACAACAATCACAAATCAAGGCAATGTTGGGATAAATACTGATTCCAGTTCATTTATTTGTGAAGTTTTAAACCCAAAACCAAAAAACTGCATGTTTTACGTTAACTTGTACCCGAACGTGAAGTGTTATCATCCAAATGAATTTATCCCCCCCCACCTCTCAATAGGGTTTCCAAGCAGGGATCTAAGTTCTGCTGTTTTCTTTATACCATTATATTCAATCGGGCAAGTAAAAACAACGAAGGAGATGGCAAATCCCAAGAATATACCAGCCACGTATAAGTTCGTCTTAAAGACGTGTAGTTTAACTTTCCTTTTAAACCCGTCGTAAAGTCGAATAGGTACCCAGAGGACAGTGTCTGGCTAGTTAAAGATGGCAACATGATAAACATTGCCTATGACAACACTTTCACTTCCATAAACCAAGCAAAAGTGTATGTAGGATGTGCTGCCATCTATATAAACAGTGTTCAACAAAATCGGTTAGACATGATCTAAAGGGTTACAATGTACAATCGCATATTTCAAATAATGAACTGTTTGTATTTCAACCTAGGATCTGAGGATGAGATAGACACAATTGAAATGTGAACAATTAGTTCTTTTTAGGTGTTAGTGTATTTCAGTTTATGATTCACTCCATGTACTTGAAAAGTGCAGTCATGGAAAAGTACATTATGGTTTGGTTCTTTTTAGGTTCATAGTGGATTGTAATTGATGGTTCACTATATGTTATGGAAAGTGCATTATGGTTTAGTTCTTTTTTAGGTTTATGGTTTATGGTGCATTGCAGTTGATGGTTCACTCTATGTCATGGAAAAGTGCATTATGTTGTGGTTCTTTTTAGGTTTATGATGCAATGCAGTTGATGGTTTTCACTATGTCATTGAAAAGTGCATTATTTTTTAGTTCTTTTTTAGGTTTATGTTGAATTGCAGTTGATGGTTCACTCTATGTCATGGAAAAGTGCATTATGTTGTGGTTCTTTTTAGGTTTATGATGCAATGTAGTTGATGGTTTTCACTATGACGTTGAAAAGTGCATTATTTTTAAGTTCTTTTTTAGATTTATGGTGAATTGCAGTTGATGGTTCACTCTATGTCATGGAAAAGTGCATTATGTTGTGGTTCTTTTTAGGTGTATGATGCAATGCAGTTGATGGTTTTCACTATGTCGTTGAAAAGTGCATTATTTTTAAGTTCTTTTTTAGGTTTATGTTGAATTGCAGTTGATGGTTCACTCTATGTCATGGAAAAGTGCATTATGTTGTGGTTCTTTTTAGGTTTATGATACAATGCAGTTGATGGTTTTCACTATGTCGTTGAAAAGTGCATTATTTTTTAGTTCTTTTTAGGTCATGGTACATTGCAGTTGATGGTTCACACTATGCTATGGAAAAGTGCATTATGTTGTGGTTCTTTTTAGGTTCATGATGCAATGCAGTTGATGGTTTTCACTATGTCGTTGAAAAGATCATTATTTTTTAGTTCTTTTAAGGTCATGATGTATTGCAGTTGATGGTTCACACTATGTCATGGAAAAGTGCATTATGTTTTAATTCTATTTGGGTCATGGTGTATTGCAGTTTATGGTTAACTTTACGTCACGGAAAAGAGCATTATGTTTTAGTTTTTTAAGGTTCATGGTAGCCTACATTGCAGTTGATGATTCACCCTATGTATGTCATGGAAAAGAGCATTATTTTTTAGTTCTTTTTAGGTCATGGTATATTGCAGTTGATGGTTCACTCTGTCAGGGTAAAGTGCCTTATGTTTTAATTATTTTAAGGTCATGATGTATTGCAGTTGATGGTTCACTCTGCGTCATGGAAAAGTGCATTATGTTTTAATTCTTTCTAGGTCATGTGTATTGAAATTGATGGTTCACCCTATGTACGTCATGGAAAAGAGCATTATTTATAAGTTCTTTTTAGGAGATGGAGTAATTGCAGTTTATGGTTCACTCTGTCATGGAACAATACAATATGTTAAAGGAGATGCGAATTTTAGTTGTCATTAAGTGTGGGTCAAAGTGCATTAAGGGTGGCCAACTGGCCATACTTCACCATAGCTTGTCGTAGTTCAGTGTAGGCCATGGGTCACTGTAGTTCGTCATGGTTTATTCATTACGTTATTGATGCTAGGTATCATTGCATCAAAACATAATATCACGGGTGCATAGTATTCAAGAATTATTTCTATTGGTAACTCGAGGATGAAACGTACAATAAGAGAACTGTTTCAGTGATACTTGAATGCAATAACTTGTATAATGGAAAATGAAAAGTGTAGGGTACATTTTAGAATATCACATGCTGGTGCTGTTTTCAACAGCATATATTTGAATTTCAAGTAGATCGACAAAACCTGATAAACACATTGCATTGAGTTGGTTAATTTCTTTGAAATAATATGATATATCTGAATAGAATTAAAAAATAGCTTGCTTCCCGAAAGCGACAAATCGAATCCATTCATCTTGATAAGGATATATCGGACACTTTATATTCCCCAAAAATTAAGAACTAGATTATGTAATCAATGCATGTGAAATACACCAACCGATGTAAGACTCGAGGGCGTAGCCAGCTTGCCAAGGGTGTGTGTGATTGTTTAGCGTTTTTATCACATCTAGTGATGCGAGCGCCAAAAAGTGGGGTACGGGAAATTTAAAAAAACACATTGTATATTGTGCGTTTTAAGCATTTAATTTCTAAACTTTAATTTGTTAATGCTTTTCATAAAAGCCACAAGTGTTGTTCAGTGATTGGTATATATGTCATTGAGAAAAAAACGTGGATCATTTGACTTCACATTCCAAACGTGCATTTATCTTTTAGACTTTCAGGACAATCGAAGGAACTTCTTCTGAACAGTATCTTCATGTGAGTATCCCAAAATTGGTCAATGCATGTATGAATATCCTAGCACATATGTCAAAGGATAGGACCTAAAATTATTTTGGAACCGAGCAAGAAAAAGCAAACTCTAAGTGCATATATACTAGTCATAAGATAAACAAACCCCATAATCCTAAAACCATGAAAAGAAACAGTGTCTAATATCCCTTTTCCCCAAACTATCAAAGAACCAATATCAACATCCAAGACCAAAACACCAAGGGAAATTTCATTCGCACTGAAAAATATCATTACAGTACAATTTAAATTATATAAAATATTTTCATAGAGAAAAACACCACAAACCCCTGTTTATAAAACACGTCAACTGTGTTTCTTACATGTACGATGGAAGATATTTTAATAATAAACGATGTGAACCGGAAATAACCTCTTGGAGAACATGTTTCGATTCTAATAGAATAACTCTGCCATCAGGGTGGCACCATAGAATAGAATCTCATTAATCAATAACAAATCGATTAATATGTTTTTCAAAGTTCATTATTTTGAGTATGTTGTAGGCCATAACGATTATATGTTATTGAAATGTTGTATTTATCCCTCATATCTAACCATATTATCAACAAATGTCATTTATCATTAAATATAACAAGATGACCAAAAGTCAATTGTTTTACAGTTTCAGCACCGACATAATCTTGAGCATTGTTTTCATATATCACAAGTCATAATAATTTTACTGCTATTGTAAACTGATTAGATAAACCAAGTTATATAATTAGAGAATTTATTATCCTGAGAATAGGAAATTCTGTGACTTATGTTGAGTTCTAATGATATTCTCTGGCTCTGCGACTTTATAAATTTGAGATGACGTCATTTGATTAGATAGGGAGTGAATCTAGAGAAGGGTCAACTAGCACTCAGTACAGGGGGTATTAATCTTCCAGCAACTGTCATATGCTTCTTTCATATTAATCATTATTTGACAAGAAGTTGGTTACAGCGATACAGATTGGTGTAATCGGAACTACAACGACGCTATATTCTCAGAGTGGATCACTTGATGCACAATTGCTAACCAGACACCTTTAGCTTACTCTGGGGATACACGCAATAAGTAAATTTTGGAAATATATAATGCAAGCTCCGAACACAAATATCGTTGAACCAAGACCAGTGGATGAACGCGCGCCGCCACCAGCGCACGGCGACCACAGAGAGGTTCCCGAGGGACACCACCATCAGCAACGCCATGGTGATGTACACAAAGGAGCTGGGTATTACCAAGTTCCGGCGCACGGAGCACCTGGCGAACACGCTCACGGGCATCAACAAGTATACCAGGGGAACGACGGACATTATTATGTGAATGGAACAGCTGAAGAGGTAAGTATCAAGTAAAGCACTCAAGTAAAGCACCCTAGACTCACAATTAGCGAGAGACCCCGGTCTTGTTATCAATGGCTAGATGGAGAGCAATCTCTCCAATGTAAGTCTTACTACTTCACCTCCTGGTTCTCGACAGTTTCTTAAGACTACTTATCACATCTTCAATTGATATTATTCTTCACATTTTCAATTGTTTATTTGATTTTGACTTTTCAAGAAAGTTGTTTGAACTTAGATAATTCCATTGAAAGTGGAGAGCGCTTGAAATTGCTCAGTCGAGTTCAGTAAAGTAAAGAAACGACATCACATTTGTACTGGAAGTGGCTAGAAGTTGAGCAATGCAACATACTATTTTTAATGGTATTAACATATACAATATGTGCAATTAAACACAAGATGGAATAAAAAAATAACAATGTTTCTGGATTTTTTAATTTTATAATCTCACCAATGTATGTGATGTTTCGCAACATGGCAGGTAAATTATTTATTATTTTCTTTAAATAAATCAATTTATTCTCAAATCACGCGTTATTTCTTCAAATAATGCCAAATAAGTTGTTAGGATTTTGCATTCAACCCGAAAGCAAAAAATATTCAATAACGAATCACTACTATGTACAGTATTGGATAACTACTCAGTAATATCAAAATCAATTTGTGCCATTTTTAATAAAATTCTTGGTAAATATTCTTATCGTTCACGAGAACATTTACCAAGATTTCTCATATTTTAGACCATACTTCTTCTAATATTAATAAATATCAATCACTGACATATGGTCAATGTTTGCCTTGGCTCTGTAGCTCGGCGTTATGGTTTGTTATACCGTGTGTATTGCCAATTTACGACTTCAACGTAATGTCGTGTCCGTACGTCGCATGCCTTTTTGCAATTCAGTCGTATTTTCGATTATTTAATCCTTGGTTAAATCTATGAATTACGTTTTAACATGTTGAACTGATTTGATTAAACCAAGATCAATTCATTAAAAATGAATTAAGGAAACGTTTCTGTTTACACCTTTTAGTGTCTTTGTTTGATGTAATTTTTGATCTCAAGATGGCATTTAATAAGAATCCTCGATATATTCAATTAACAATTGCAGTAAAAATTTAATTCTTATTTACAGAAGTCACGCGTGTGTGTGTTTGATGTAATATTACACGATATTCTAAGTGTGTGGGAGTACAGTGAATGTCGAATCAAAAAACAAAAAAATTATCGAATGTCGCAATGAGCCCGGTGTAACATTTGAAGCTTTTGGAAAAAATGGTTTTATTTCTGAATGGAATGTGGCAAAACAAGACTATGTTAGGAAGTCTTATTGGAAATCAATCTTTGAATAAATTATTAAATTATATCAATTGAACTAAAATTGTTATGCATTATAAGAATAAAATTAGCAATGAAAAATTTCGAAATGTCTCGGTGATATCTTGCATTTTTCAGTTTAATTTTATAATCACACAGATCTTGTGCTACGTATTATCGTAATATGCTAGCTCTAATCATCCCAAACTTGCTGTGTGCATATTCTTATATATTGTTAAATTAGTAGACTGTAAGTTAATGTAAGAAATACTGGAAACTACTCTTCAGTAGAGTAGGTTAAACAAATAAAATAAATATAAGAATATTACTATCTGTTAAATTTAAGAAAATAATTTTTTAAGGACTTCACGATCATTATTTCACATCAACTGTAAAGTTCAGATACCATGCACTACTTTGATATTTACAGCATTGAATGATTTTCAAGATTAGAGTCTCTCATAAAATAGCAGCTTAATTTTGATAAGTATGTACCTATTAAATACAATATTTCCTGAGATGAAAATACAGATTGCATAAAAGAAGTTTTTCAAAATAATCAGTCAGGATATCCAAGATGGCCGTTGCGTGCATTGCGCTAACATCAAAAGAGAAATTCATAGATGAAGATAGGATCATGAATTATTAAAAGTGTATATAAGCATAAATTCTTAACCTGACCTCCAACTTCTACCATTCACTAACCCATGAAAAATAATACGCTTGGACACGTCCATAGGATTCTCTTTCATTTTATGGAAAATACAGAATCAGTTGGTACGTCACGTCTATATTTACGAAAATTTTCGATAAATTCTCTGCGCATTGTTGTATGTGTTTTTACGAGGCATTTGGGAATTTCAAAAATTCTATGTAGTATTTTAAATTCATGTTTAAAAGAATGATGTGAGACAAACATATCTAGGTCAACTTGGTAAGAATTTTTTTAAATTTAAAAATTGGCAGCTTTATTTAACAAATGTTGAAATGGGAAAACCTGGCAGGGCATTTCAGGAGGTATAGTAATTAATTGATTTTTAATTTTTTTCATACAAAAATCATTTTTGTCAATAAGAATAATAAAATACTGATTTTTCATGACAAAATGAAACATCTATAGTTGTCTAGTAACCAACGGACCTCAATTTTAATAGCTTCGTGTACTATAGCCCCCTAAACATTCTAAGGGTCCGTAAAATACTGGAAAAACACACGCTCATAGTTAACTATCTAGTAACATTTTAATCTGTATTTGAATATTTCGTGTTTTGTCGGGTGTATAGTCCAATTAATACGGCACCAAATTAGCTGATACAATTTGTATTATTCGCAGAGATAAGACGAGATATGAAACTCACTATCAGGAGCCTGTCTAGAAGGCCCATAAATTAATCACGAAATATAAAGTGATAAATGAAGTCAGTACCATATGATATAGTCATTTATATAAGTGATAAAAATTCAGTATAAAACAACATTCTAAATTTATCTTGATTAATGACAATATCGAGTGTGCGCAAAGCTTTGCATCCAGCCAAAGTATGCAGATACAGTGATCAACTCTCGAATTAATTACTCCGCAATGACAGGGGTTACAAAAACAATGCTATCCAGTGATTAAATTTTGTTTTTCAAGGTAGTTATGATTTACAAATTTAAGCATAAAAGATTACAACTTATTCACCAAATTATTATATTGACATATTTATCACTGATATTTTCAGAATATATATTGATATTCGTAGGTTGGTCCATTGGTTGACGATATAAAGTGAAAATGCCTATGTATCCGTGGGAAAGAGATTAGAAAATAAGTGTCCATTCTAACTAGACACATTTACAATCTAGTAATAATAATTATCTCACATTTAAATTGTAGCAATATAAACAGTCGATATGCTACATCGAAGTATACTTTTCTAGTATATAATACGGTCAGAGTTTAAAACTACCTATAATACGTCATTGCTCTAATATTTGGTTTATTTGACCCCTACACAAAAACCAGTTTACTTTTAATGTTATGTCTATGTGTATGCAAGTGATCGTTAATTAAGAAGTTAATTCCACAAATATTTATAAGTCAGAGGATAATTATATTTTACAACAATTTTTATTTTAAATAGTTCAAGATGTTTAAAATGATTTCAATAAAAGTTGAGACTCCCGGTAGAGTAGTTATCATTCTCAAAATGTAATCTCTTTAAACAACCGAATCAATTCATATCTATTTTTGGTTAAGGTCTGTGTATAAGCTACTGATTCATACCATGTTAATTGTTATTTGTTTATTTATTTTATAGTTTGTTGTTTTCAAATGGTCTATATAGCATATGTCTCGGGAATGGCCATTTGAACAACACGCACCACATCTCGTGTTGGGAAACTCGACGTAAGTCGGTTGCCGTAAATATTTTTAACAGATCGTAAAACACCTTCTTAACATCAGTCCTAGGTGTGACATTCTTTACCTATCTCACGAAACTTGGAGAATGTTGCACATTTATAGCACAAATCGATTAATTTGTTCACTTAAGTCGGTTCAGTGTCCATCATTAACTCTCCGTTAAGAGTGAAATGAATTATTCTAGCGGCGTTCGGTTGTATTTTAGTGGCTTATATGTGTTTTGCCATAGCACCTCTGAAGAACGGGGTTGTAAATAATGAGCTTAGCGATACGCCGGTTATTTTATTACTATGTATTAATGGGATAATTATAGCATTGAACGAATTGATATAATATGCGTAAAACTACAACTTTTGAGGCCTGAAAGTGCCTGAGAATATTATCAAAATACTATCAAAGCATATTTAGGATCTTGCCTACGTTTGAACAAATCCACGTTGCACATATCTGCATATCTATATTCCATATATCCTGAATGAATATACTAGGCGAGATCGTTGTTTCGGATTCGTGAGTTGACCAGTTGAACTTGTATACACTAAATATTTCCAATGATTTGTTAAATACTTTTTATTTGTTTCTATATCAAAATAGACCATATTATCGCATTGCATCATTTGCATGTATTATAACAGATATATTATGAATAGGAAATGAATGTTAAAATTGCAATGAGCAACTAGAATATGCACATGTCTATTGAAACTATATAATCTGTGACCTGGGTCATTATGGCTTGTGCTCATCTGTTGAATCCTCTAACAAATATAAGTAAACATCCTATAGAACATCGGAAAGATAATTGTCCCAGACTTTACCCCCCGGGGAAATGAGTTCCATCCCATCGGAAAGATAAGATCCTGAATGCTGGGTCGTAGAATGGAATTCTTAACATACGTTCGATATTTAGGCAGATGCTAAGGAAGTTGCCGAGATTTCCAGAGTCACTTATAGTTTTTATAGTCAATATATGGATTCCAATCCTTATGCTTTTCCATTTTCATTGAAATTAGTTTATTTAAAATAATGTAAGTCTGGTCATTACTTTATGGTTGGCAATATCATATTTGATTAGGACTTGAAGAGGTTTGCATAAGGAGAAGAAGAAATGACGCCATTCTTTAAGTTGTATACACTGAGGAACGATCCATTTCGTAATGTAAGATAAAATGAAGGAAAAATCAGATAAAATGAAGGAAACTTCAGAAGAATTAAAAGCTTTTTTGTTAAATATAAACTTAGGTTAACTTAGTCCATAAGTTCATATCATTATCA